ACAGAGACACAGAGAGACAGAGAGAGAGAGAGAGAGAGAGAGAGAGAGAGAGAGAGAGAGAGAGATGGAACCAGGAGCTGAGACTGCTGAGAAGGACGAAGGTGCACCAGTGAGTGTCAAAGAGAAACTGACCAGAGAAATTGACAAGATTGGCAGCTTCTAGGCTTGCAAAAGAGGGAGTACTCTCCTGCACTTAAGTTTTTTTCTCTATGCTGGCTGTCTTTAAAGATCAGACTGCTTTCTTGCAACCCAAAACCCATGACCCTGAAAAACCCCACAGAAACAATTTACACCAACAAAAGCGTTCACATAAAACTATTCAAAATAAATCAACTTCACAAACAATTTAAAATAGAGAACTCTCTCACAGCTGAGTAAAATACTTCCTTTTCCAATCAAATAACACACTTCCCAGGCAACCCCCCATGTTTCTCTCTGTGTCATGTATTCAAAAATTTAAAAATCCATTTCAAACGTACTAAAACCAATTCAAAAACATTTTTTTTCCAAATGTAAAAAGTTAACTTTTTTTAAAAAAAAACTGTATTTTGTATTTGCAAACTCTTTTTTGACATACAAGTAAAACAAGGATATGGCTAGGGGGGTACTCAAGCTATCAAAATACATGGAAAATAATTCTCAACCATGGAGCAAGAAGCCCTAATACCTACCACCTTGCATTGGTATATATAGCAGGTGTCCAAGAGGAGCTGGTGGCAGATTATGCATTCAGAATCCTTAGTTATCTTTCCAAGTCTCTCTGTAACTGTGCAGCCCATCTCTGTTGACTGCTTGGCAACAGAAATAACATAGGAAATAGCAGAGATAATAGCTTAAAATAGCATAAACACATACAAATATCAACAGATTATTTTTTTTTGCAGGAAAATTAATTTACCATTTCTCAGAACTTAGGGGAAAGGGGTTTATTTGTTGTGAACATAAAATGGAAATAGAATTAAGTAACAGAATGCCAGGAATTTCTATTCAGAATTCCTGTCCACTAGTGTCAGGAAATGAATAATTTGCCATCGTGGTACGTGCTTGTTGTGAATGTCCCTTTGCAGTGTATACACAGTCCACTGCTTGTTAAGTGAAATAAATGGGTTTGTAAAGATTTCAATGCCATTGTGTAATCGATTGTATATTTCCTTCATAGAGTGCAGCCGAAATGGCCATATATATTTGCCTGTGTGCAGTTGATTGCATACGTGTGTGTGTGTGTGTGTGTGTGTGTGTAAATCAGCTTGATTTGTGATTGGTCAACACAAGGCTTTTTTTTTGCCAGTATAATTGCTCTTTCCCCAGGGTCTGCCTGAATTACATTTAATGAACACCAGAGAAATTCGCCTTCTATAATTCTGTCACAAGTAGTTGTTTTCCTTCAGGAACATCTGCCCATTGACTGGACAGGGGCTGAGTAACTGCTGTCAATCATGGCCACTACCAGTGGAATAGCATAACATCTGGATACATCCCCGTTGATGTGTCCCCCTTTTCATCCCCTTTCCATTCCTCTTGCCCAAACCAAGTTGCAGTTCAGAATGTCAACAAGGGATGCTTTTAGCTGATCCCAGGTTAAGCTACATCATCCACTGAACCAGTATCATGCCAGCTGGTTGCATAAGGAAGAGACCTTCATCAATCACACATTTCTGAAGCAATCACTGGGACCAATGCACCAGGATGGGGTGGTTTTAGAGCTCCTGTATGGCTGAATAGACACACACTCACATACAAACTGACATTGGGTTGGGGGAAAAAGTTTCTATTGATATCAATTGATTTTACAAAATTAGTGTAAGGAGCTTAAATATTTTTTTTTTAACCAGCTGGGTGGAGTTGTTTGAATGTCCCCAGGACTCATGTGCGTTTGTCCTGATCTAAACTGTGCAGAATGCAGCAGCCAGGTCGGTTGGTTTAGATACATCTAAATTTGACTGCATCTTACCTGGTCCTGGCCCACTTATACTGGCTGCTAAGATGCTTCCAGGCCACCTCATTCAAGGCACTAATGTACATTTACAAAGCCCTTTACAGTTCAGATCCTGTTTCTTGGCAGAGCGCCTCTCCCTACAGGCTGCCCTCCCATGCCACCCACACCTCCCAGTCTCTGATACTGTGGGTGGCTTTAAAAATGCCTTGAAGTTTTCAACTAAAAACTGGGGCTTCTTGGTAGTGGCCACCTTGTTTTGGGGTGCCCTTATGGTGAAGATGCATCTGCCACCCTCCCTCCTGAGCTTCAGAAAGCAAATGAAATTTGTGTTCTTTAGTCAATCCTTTAAAACCTTTACCCCTTCTTAGTTTTGTTTATGAGGTAATGTTGTGGCAGCCCTATGCTGTTAGTTTATTGTCCAGAGAGTTTATTGTTTATTGTCCAGAGAGTGCAGCTTGGAGATGCTGTTTCGACCCTGTGGGAGGTTGATCATCTCCCCAATGCTCTTTAACATCTAATTTGGAGTTTGCACAGGCATCACTAAACCTCAAGATGGTAAAAAGTTTTAATTTTAACATCTTGAGGTTTAGTGATGCCTGTTACGAGTATTTAGGGTGGATTCTGGATTTCTTTGTATGTTTACTGTTTTAATTCTATTCACACATTTATGTTACTTTTTTGTAGATGTCTGAAGTAGTGGCTTGCCACTAGACGGGCAAGATATCAAATAAATAAATAAATAAATAAATAAATAAATAAATAAATAAATAAATAAATAAATAAAGTTATAAAATATCATGAAGAGAAAGGGTAAAGGTTCCTGATAAGAAGCCTCTTTTATAGGGAAGTACAAATTTGGAGAAATTGGAGGACAAATTATGGCACAACATGAGCATCATCTTATTTTATGGAGCTGGACATACCACCGTCTTCCCTTATATACCCATTACCGATCTGGCAAAGGAGGAGGTGTAATATAAGCATCTGCTGCAGACAAATCATGTACATATACTCTCTCTGTCTCTCTCTGTGCATGTATGTGTATGCATACACACACAAAGGCACACATGTAAAGCAGGGTCCTAGGATATCTTGTTTTCTTTTGGGGTCAGAGGGTTCCCAAGAATCCCCTACCCACGAAACCCATTTGGGCAGGATGCAGACTCCAGAAGGGCTGGATTTGGCCGCTCAGCCCCTCCAGACCTTGCCAACCCCTGAAAATTCATTGAGGCAGAGGGGCTTGTGGAAGAAACAGAAATGTGGCCAAGCTGTCAATATGGTTGCTGTTGGTGGTGTTTGCATCCACAATTCAAAACCCCCAAAATATGAGGAAAAACGCTGTGCTAAAACTGATACTAATGAGGCCCTTATCGCTAAGGAGACGTTGGATAATTTGGGAGAAACCGTCCCCTGCGGTTTCTCTGCCCAGAGATATGGTAAAGAATTTCAAGAGTCCATTTGCAAATAACTATCCTATGGGGAGGCAGTTTGCTTTCTTGTTTCATGGTGCCCAATCATTTCTTCCCCACTGCTTCCCTGTGCTTCTCTTTCCTTTAATACACTTTTTAAACTTGACATATAAGACTGGAATCGTTTCCTTTTTGCCCTTCCAAGGGCATGCTTGTTCTTGCTGCTGAGGGTAACTATTTTGAGATAATACCCACCAAAGTGAGTCAAGGGGAGGAGGGGGCAGAAGGGGTTAAATACTGGCTGGAGAAAACTTGATTCAGCCAGCTTTAGAGCTCTTCCTAGGACATGGAAAAAATTGTTTTTAGGCCACAGTTTCCTGGGAGAAGAAAATAAACTATGGGCACTTCTATGGCCAGGGGTGAAGAGAGTGTTGCAAAACTGTTGCATCAACTGTGTGTATGTGTTTGTGTTCCTTTCTGTGACAGTAAACTGTGGTAGTGAGACCTACAGAAATTCTATTTTATGTATTTATGAAATGTATATCACCTATCACTCCTTCAAGAAGTTTAAGGTGGCTTGCATGGTTCTCTCATCTCCCCATTTTTATTCTCACATAACCTTGTGTTGTCATACTGAGAGGGAAAGACTGGCCCGAATCACTAAATAAAAGGTTCCATGTCAGGGGTGGAACTCGGGCTGGGCTAGGAGCCCTCCACACCCTTGGGGGGGGGGGAAGATGGAGGAGCTACACAGATTCCCCAAAGCAAGAGGGGGGCACAAGAAAGGAAACTAAAAGTGGCCAGAAGTCCATGCCAGTTTTGGGAGTGTTAATTGGTTCAGAGGGGTACTGTGACCTGTCAAAAGAGACATGGGAAGTCCATGCCAGTTTTGGGAGTGTTAACTGGTGCAGATTGGGGAAATGGGGATGTGGTGGCGCTGCGGGCTAAACCGCAGAAGCCTGTGCTGCAGGGTCAGAAGACCAAGCAGTCGTAAGATCGAATCCACGCGACGGAGTGAGCGCCTGTCGCTTGTCCCAGCTCCCACCAACCTAGCGGTTCGAAAGCATGCAAATGCAAGTAGATTAATAGGGACCACCTCGGTGGGAAGGTAACAGCGTTCCGTGTTTAAGTCGCACTGGCCATGTGACCACGGAAGATTGTCTTTGGACAAAACACTGGCTCTATGGCTTGGAAACGGGGATGAGCACCGCCCCCTAGAGTTGAACACGACTGGACAAAAATTGTCAAGGGGAACCTTTACCTTTAATTGGTGCAGAGGGGTACTGTGACCTTTCAAAAGAGACATAGCTGCTTCTAAAGGCTTCTGGGAGCAGTAATTTGTCTCTCATCCCCTTTTAGGGGGGTGTAAAAAAGGAACTGGAGGAGGGCTGTGAGCTAAGAAAACAGTCTGGAGGGAACGCACACAGCCCCAGGGCCACATTTCCCTCAGTCTTGCTCTAACTACCACAGATGGTGCCTTTTTACAATATTTTGCAGAAACGGGGAATGTTGACCTACTCAAAGGACTATTGT